TGTTTTGCTATGGAGTCAAAATACTTATTTGAAAATCAATTTATAACATTTATGTAATGTGTGTTTTAGGAGAGATGGTTTGGAGTGAGCACAATTACCAATAGACAGATAGATGTTAATATCTGTAATCAAATCTACCTGTTGAGAACATCGCCCTTCATCCGTTTAAAAAGAAAAAATCACAGTGACTCATGAGAATCCAAGAACAGGGAGTTATGCCAAACACCTGCTCCCAGTCCCTTTGAGAATGTTGTTGTTATACATGATAAAATCAATTGAAAAGAAAAACCGTCTGTCATGTGAGAGCCCATTAAACCTTGCACCTGGGTCACTCCAAATAAAATCAACCCAATCTGAAACAAGTTGCCACCTGAGCTCCTCTAATCAGCAGAATTTTCCTTTTTTGCATGGAGTAGTTTCAGTACATTTAATGATGCCACACAATTAGGGGTGGTTTGAAATTTGGTGCATTTTAATTTACTTTGTTTTTTGAATATTTTTGAGCCCTCATCTTGTCTTAAGCTGAGGAGTTCACACATTGACACTACGATGCATGCATCGGAGAGCAACATGGGGTTAGCATCTTGCCCAAGGATATTTGGCATGCAGACTGGAGCAGACTGGGATCAAACCACCAACCTTCTGATTAGTGACTGACCTGCTCTACCACCGAGCTACAGCCACCCCAACACAAATATCTCTTTGTACCTCATTTTAATACCATGTTAAAATACGTAACTATGCCATCTCTGTCAAAATAACTTTCTGATAAAGTCATATTTTTAACACTTACGAATGTTGCTTATGGCAGCTCATAAAATAGTCCTGGTGTAAACCAACATCCAAAGTGTAACGTATGATATTGTATCTTGTACCTCCAAAGCATGAAGTTTTACCTCAGCAGGAGCTGCATGGAGGTAAATGTTGCTCACAGACATGTGCACTGTGTGAAGTGTGCATTATGTATTTGTCACAAATGGCTTGAAAAAAAATATTAACATTTTTTGTATATGCAACTCCTACATGATTGCTATGGCTTCCCCCCACTTTTTCTCCAGAATGATCCTATATCGTTTAACCAAAAACTCCCTTTTCTGTGTCCTAATTAAGAAGGCAACCGTAACCCACCTGCTTGTTATTGTAATTGTGTCTCTTAAGATACTTTAGACACTATGAAGTTTAGATCAGGGGTGTCACACATAAGGCGTGGAGGACAGCTTTAGAAAATCTGAAAGAAGTCATAGATTTTAACTGTATTGTCACAAGTTTTAATTTTTTTCCTGACTGTTATGCTCCCAAGGTCACACCAAAGTAATCTATCTACTATAGAAATTTCTGTTTCTTACCAGTGGATCCACAGTAAAAACACTCCTATGTCCTCCCAAAAATAGCAAAAACACTGGACTTCTGTTAATTAACCAAAAAAGCTTTCAGTTTTATACTTACAGAGGGGTCTTTGCAATGATGATCTACCAAAACATTTCTGTAATTTTAAACATTTATCTCTCACAGTTTAAGCTGAAAGAGTTGTGCTGACAGATTTTTCTGTAGTGTAGAATAATGGCAAACTGTAGGGCACTGAAACCAGCTTAACATCCCTTAATTAGATGATCTTTTCTTTCTTTGGTTTACGTTTTACTATGTTGCTATTAGATATGCAAAGACCATATATGAACAAAAGCCAAAACTTCCAGGTCCAAAAGGTGCAGCCTTAAAACAACATTCTTTCTAATAACCAGCAGGGGGCGCCTCCTCCGCTGCCAAAACAAATTGGCGTCTGCAGAAGTATAGGAGTCTCAGTCTCCTCCAAAGTACCCATTTCGAGGCTAAAAGTACTAAAGGTATAAATAGACTCACGCAGCGAGTATCATGACTGTGGACTTGTCTTGTTACACATATTTCACATTCATTTTAAATCAAAGATGCAAACACAGAATATGTGAGGCTATATGGGAAGTTTATTATCTTTCAAATGAGGAAGATTCAGCTTGTAAATGATTTTTCGCTGGGTACAATTTCAAAGCGTTTTTTACTATCAGTTATTAGAGGCGTATCATTTCAGTATTTCACTACTTTTGTTACTTTGGAAAAAAGCCTTTAACATTTCACAGTTGCATTGTTTGGATAAAAACCAGTCTCAGGTCATCTGTGAACACATTAAGGCATTTTTTCTCTCTCTTCCAGTTTGGTGTTCTGGTGCAAGTATGACATCAGTAACTCAGGAGCTGCTGATGACCTGCTTTATCCAGTTGGTGAGCCTGGTGATGCGAGTGTAGACACCATAGTAGTCTGGACGCCCACAGCCTCTACCCCAGCTCACCACCCCGGCCAGGAACCAGCGACCTGAAGGCTCCTGACACACCAAGGGACCGCCCGAGTCTCCCTAACAGACAAAGGTAACGTTAACGAGGCACAAATAAGACTGGGTCTTCACAGCACAGAGGCACCATAATAATTGACAGTACTTATAATTACTACAGTGACTCACTATATCATCATCATCAGGGGTTCTTAGATATGTGGCTTTTAAAACTCATTTTATAACATCGATGTGTTTTAAAAAAAACTGGGCTAAAAAGAGGAAATAACGTTATAGATTTTTTTAATATTTAAAATTTTAATCGGTTTCTCCTTTTTTGTGGCTTTGAGGACATCTTGACAGAGAGCAAGACTACACGATTCTAAGTGATACATAGAATTTTACTTTCATTGCATCATATCAACTTTAAAACACTGCAGGAACTTATTGAATTTAGATTTTTTGTAATATTAGTTATATTAAAGAGAGAATCCATACAAAATCAGTTTAATTTAAATCTCTGCTTTGATTTTACCTACAGTTTCTTGGCAGTTCTACATACACACTTGTGCGGTATCTCCACCCAGCAAACCAAAGCCTGGTCCTCTTTTGACTTGTTTTGTTCACTCTTCTTTTTTCAAATGCAGGTAAAGATATTTTAGACGGGAATGGTGAGACTGACAAAACAGTAAAACTGCAGGCTGTAAAGGAAACAATGTGTAGAGCTGAGGGGATGAAGTGCTAAGTGTTGTGTTGGACATTCTGAGTTTCACTTGCTTTTTAATTTTTAGTCATTTGATCCATTTTTGCTGCCAAAGTTCAAAGCACATGCAGCTTGTATTTCTTTGTACCTGACAGGCATCTTTCCTTCCATTGCGGTAACCGGCACAAAGCATTCTGGGAGTAACCAGGTGTCCATAGGAACGGATGCAGGATTCCTCGCTAACCAGGCGCACATCAACTTTCTGAAGCACATTACTGGCTGTGCCTGGGAAAAGTAAGAGGACAGAGTGACAGAGGGCAAAAGAATATCCTCTCAGTCGTAATGCTGTTGAGTCTTTGTGCACTGCTTAAGGCCCCAGTAACACTAGCTTAGAGACCCATTAGCAATTGTCTGGAAATGGCCAGTGATGAGGGAAAAACAAGTTTTCCCTGACTGCGAGTGCTTTTGGGAGGTTGTTGCAAAAAGGTATACATTTCTGCACTGACAACCTTCTTTTGATTGTTTTGGTTGTCATCACTCATAGTACGCCTGGAAAATGCTAACTAGTGTTCAGAGTCAAATCTGTGTCTTCTGAAACATGTTGGTTTCAACTGTAAGACACAACGTTTACCGTGAAGCCAAACATTCTCCGTTTTCACTTCCCATCGCACTTTTCAACTTTCACTGTTGACTTGTCTGCAGACAAATCAGCATACTTTCATGCAAACTGCAGCAATCTGCTAGCGAGCAAAGCAATCACAGAGAAGATTTTGGTGCAGCACCATTTGCAATAGATATCACCCAACAGCACTAATAACACTCTGCAACCTCCAGTGTCCAATAAACATTCCTAATGTGCCCTTTCTGGACTGGTATGAGGGAACCTATTGTGTGCTTGCCCATAGAAAGCTCATACAGGGGTCCTAAAGGGGCAAAGGTGCTGTGGATCCTGTGTGTGCACAGGTATTTCTACTCTGAGCATTTTAACCACTTTCCTAGAAGGCTCAAAGAAAAGACAATTTAATTCAAACACTTTTTCCTAGAACTAAGTGCTTTGTCTAACATTCCCCGACACACTGTAGACTGAAGTATCCAGAGAAATTGATCCACCAACCTTCCAGCTGCTATATTACCCATGCTATCTAATGAGGCACAGCCACCCGACTTTGGGCCTACATGTCTGTATGTCTGCCAGCATATTACTTATATTAATGAAACACTATACAGGGTAATGAAACCACGGAACATGTTTTAGTACACTGCAAGAAATAACAGGAGACTGAGAAGCTGAGAGAAGGTGATTGATGCAGAACCTCAGAAACGCTGTTCCACACTGCATACAGCTGGTGGCTGTAATGTACCACAGGGCACAGTTAGGCAGCCCTCTGTGATCCCTGCTACTGGTGTGAAATGTGGGGTACATCTGGGCAGACCACACTTAGCGTGCTTTGTGTGGGCAGCTGCTGTTCCCCATAGTGTAGAACCCAGATGCACCCATGTTTGCTGGAAAGCCTGGTTGACGTGTCTTCACTTACTAATAATGAACAACAAAGGTCTTCCCTTACGGTAACAAGAAAACACTTTATTCCGATTATGATCATGCAAATGCATTTTAATGTATTCAAATTTACCTTCGATTTTTCTCAAAAGTTGTATTGATTCTTATGAAGCGTTGCATGCCAGTATATGTTCTCCCACACCTTTTCTCTCTCTCAGCCTTCAGTTTATTAAGTTCATCGTGATAGCAGAAACCACTTCCACCCACACCACTCCATCTCCTCCTGCCTTTTTGATTTAAATTAGGTTTTTTTTTTCCATGTGTGTTTGCTCAGATATCAAAATAGCACACCCACTTGCCTCCACATCACCATCTGCACAAAAACTCCCCATATCTCGCACGCACTGACAAAAGGATGTTTTTAAAAACCACACAGTCGTTTGGTTGTGAAAATGATGCATCACACTGAATAATACATAAGTCGGTAATCATTCTGCAACAGGAGTCAAACTTGCTTAAAAGAAAAACTAAAAAGTGAGTGAGTGCTCTTCTTTCAGAGTAAACCTTCCATTTTTAAAGCAGTAAATGTAACATCACTCTAGGACTAGTAGTGTTTATGAAACTGCTCAGTGGGATTTAAGTGTCTTTTAAGGTCTGTTGTTGTGTCTGTGCATAAAGCAGCCTGTAGCTCAATGTGATTTATGATCATGGAGAGGCAGGTAGGATAGAGGTCCCCAACCTGAAAACAGCAATCCATTTAAAATGTCAGAAGATGAATTTTAAACCTCCAAGATGTTTGATCATAGAGGAAACCGATTAAACTTTGCTCTAATAAATATGGATGGCCACTTGAGGCTGCCTCTGAAAGCAAGTCAGTTGCCACGGTCTCCTATATCAAAATATCAAACTGCCCAACTTTAGAGCAGAAATAAACATGGGAAAAAACCTGGTCTCTGTGGCTAATACTCATTTTTTAAAGGTTTAAAGTTTGGGTTTATTACTGGCACAGCTGCTCTGAACAGCAGATGGCTAGGTCACAGACTGTTAAACCTTCTGTCAGCTCATTCAAGTTACTGAAATGGACCTGTGTCTTTGCAGTTTTATTTCAATATTTTAATGTCATTCCCAGAGAAAAAGTAGTCCAGATGGCACGGTACACAAGGACAGGTCTCTAGTCCATCATAACGCCAAAACAGAGAGACAACCACACACTCTAAAATCTAACCTACAACAAATTCAAAATCACCAGTTAACCTAATACTCATGTTTCTGGACTTTGGGAGGAAACTGGAGTTTCTGAAAGAAGCCCGTGCAGGCAATGAGTGAACATAAAAAGCCCCAGCTCACCAGGGGAGTCTCACCAAGACCTGTCAGAGGTGCTTGCTTATAGAGGTTTGTCTGATTGTTGGGGTTTTTCTATACTATTGTAGAGTCTTTACTTTACAATATAAAGCAAATTGAGGTGAAAAAGTGTAGCAGATATGGAGGAATTTTGAGAGGTCAAACCAAAAACTTGGAAATCACAGCCATAGCAGGTTTACTGGTTATTAAAAGATCTGTAATTTCCTATTCCATATTCTAGCTTCTTTGCACATCCTTCAAGCCCTCCCCTTCCCTGTTTTCAAAGCTCACCCCCCTCACGGAGTGCCCCCCAGCCAGTGACCCAGCAAAGCAGGCCTGGCTCCAGCTGGTGCGTTGGTGGGGGCAAGCAGGTGGGTCGAGCATGCCCAGCCAGCAGCGCAGCGGCGGGCCGGTCCAGCTTGAGCAGGGCCAGGTCGTAGTCGTGGGACTCATCGTCATAGTAATGATGTAGATGGATGCGTTGGACCCGCGCCACCTCCTCTGTAGGGCTGCTGCGGTTGATCAGAAGTTTGCCAAGGTAGACTGTCCACACTGAGGGGGAGTAGAGACTGCAGCAGGAACACAAAGAGGTCAAATGTGTTGTAGGGCCAATAAGAAAGCGTTTTTTCCCTGAGCTATTTAAAAAGAAAACACCCACACAGTTAGCAGTATTAACTCATGCCAAGAAATATCTGTTTATACTTTTTCAGCTTTTTTATCTTCCTCATCCACAGACTCTGAAGGCTGCTTAAGCTTTTAATCACCATGCAAGAAAATTAAGCAGAGAAAAATAGGTAATGCTCTAGAGGATGCTGCAGCTATAGTTTTGGGGATGGTCCAGATTGTGGGGTTGAAAAACACAAGTGTATACAAATCCATAAATACTCTGCCTCTGACTCAGACAGGCTGTCACAGTTAAACCCCGGTCAGCAAAGATGCAACCGAAGGACAGAAGGAGGAAGCAGCAGCAGAAATAAACTTGATTTATAAAACCACGACTAAAATGCTCCATCAAAGTCACGGCAGAGGATGATAATATTTTAATCTTTACACAACAGAGAGCCTTTGGTTGTGTTCTTATTAACATCACTTTCTAACATTTAAGTCATCACACCACTTCCTTCCTTTTTGTTTCCTGCCCTTACCGGTCGTCATAGAAACAGTGGGCAGCCGACACCACCCACTGACTGGCGATTAAAGTGCCACCACAGATGTGGTTACCCCGCACCTGCAGGCTGGCCTGCCATGGCCACTCCCCCTCTGAGGCGTCCGTTCCCCCAACAATGCGGCTGGAGAACTGCCTCAGGCCGCACTCTGGATACACACACGCAGGTATGTTTAAACACACTGATGTGCGCAGTGTGAGCTAATACTTTTCAAATAAAATGCTCGCGAGTTATTGAAACAAATTCTCTGACATAGAAGCACACAGAGGTCTCGAAATTTAAATGTGATACAGTTAAAATAATGAGAATAAAGTTAGAATGTTAGAAGGTGTTAGGTGATCGAGTCTTCTTACCACAATGTTTCTCATCGGAGGCGTCAGGGCAGTCAGTGACAAAGTCACACTCAGGATTTGGTTTCTTCAGACACGTTCCGTCGGCACACACATAGGTCATATCTGTACACTGCACGCCTGGGCATGGACACAAGTATAAATTTATATTTAATGCAATTAAACAATAAAGTTTACATCATGGCCTGTGTCTGCTTCCCTCATCAGTTCAGCTTGAAGCTAAAAGGAACCAATATGCACTGTTACTGTTGAGATGTTCAGGATAAAGTCATGTGGGTCTTCCAAAAGGATGCAGGACAAGATAAAAACAGGCCACTACCTCACTGAAAACAGATATTCCTGATATGTTTTTGGCTGTCCCTGTGGCAGCAGACAGGCAGGGTTTGATTCTGCCGTGGGCGCTTTGCTGCATGCAACCCACACCTTCCTATCCCTCACCTTCATGCATCTTTCTAACTGTCACCTTCTAATTAAAAAGTCAGACACCTCAGACTGAATTGAACAACTGAATGAATCAATGATATAAAATGACGTCTGGGTGGTTACATCTTAAAGCACACTTTTTATAAACTAAGCATTTTAAAAGGTGAATGGAGGCTTTGGTTATACAGCACACAGGAAATGTAGTGTTAGAGGCATCTGACTACATATATTCCAAAAAGGGGGATCGTAGCGATTTTTCCAACTACCTTTTGCCGACGGCTGTGGAAGTATTTTATGTGTGAAAAGAAGGACACTTGCAGCCTGTTACCTTCAGTGCAGTTCATCTCATCGGTAGCTTCAGGGCAGTCTGGGTGTTGGTCACACACTTTGTAGTAGTCCACACACTGACTGTCCTCTGGACATTTGTATTGTGCCACACATACTGAGAGACACACATGTAAACACTACATTCAGAACCGTTCACTGACAAAATATTGTAGAAAAACTCAGCCGTGTAACATGAGTTAGCCCACTGTGCTTCTTATTTACAGATTAAATGTATTTTGAGTGTGTCGCAGTACATAATTAATAGCTTGATTTAATGCATGCTGGATTATGTTTATTAGGAGAAAAGCAAAAGAGGAGTTTTATTAGAGAGTACATTTGAAAAAGTTATTAAATAAAGTGATTTTGATGCTTTGGTATAACAGAAGTATACAGTAAATATGTCTGAATTTGTGGCTAGCATATTTTACTTTCTGTAAATTAGTATAGTATCAGCATTAGCCTTTGCCATGAAGAAGTATTTGTCGCTTCCATATTTTTGGTATTATGTTTTTGCATGTTTGTCATAGTTAAATGTTAGATAACCTGAGTAAAATGCAGTTTTTAAATGATGATGATTTTATTTATTAATGGAAAACAGCCATCCAAACCTACCTGACCCTATGTGAAAAAGGGTTGGTGTTCCTATAAACCAAGCGGTCGTTCAGCCTGAGTGGTTCAGTGGTTCACCTTCAGGGTCTTCGTGCAGAATCTGTGGTTCCTTCAGTTACAGCAAGTCATCGAGCAAAGCAGCCCAGACCATCACTCTACCACCAACCGCCATGTTTGACTGTTAGTATGATGATGTTTTCATGAAATGCAGTGCTAGTTTTACACCAGATGTAAACCTTGGCAAATGTCAGACGAGTCTTTGTGTTCTTTTTTTCTCCTTGATCTCTCCCATGGAGGCCATTTTTGCCCAGTTTCTTTCTCATTGTTGTTGAACTCTGACCTTAACTAAGGCAAATGAGTCCTGCAGTTCTTTAGATGTTGTTCTAGGTTCTCTTGTGGCCTCCTGGATGAGTCTTCAATGCACTTTTGGAGTAAATTTGGTAGGCCAGCCACTCCTCGAAAGGTTCACTGTTCCAAGGTTTCTCCTTTTGTGGATATGACTCTCACTGTAGTTTACTGTGAGTCCCAAAGCCTTAGAAATGGCGTTCTAGCCCTTTCCAGACAGATAGATGTCACTGACTTTTTATCTCACCTTTTTTAGATGTCTTACTTCATCACACAGGGCCAGGAAGGTTTAGATAGCTTTTTCCCTTATCCCTGGTTATCTTTGTCTAATATTAAAATTCTCTTGATGATGTCTGCAGAACGTCAAGTCGTGGTTGGCGCTAAACTTTCTTTGTTTTAACGATTCTAAAACTGAAGTAATGGTGTTTAGACCTGCTTCCACTGCTGTTCCGTGTGTTGATCTGCAATCCCTGAAATCATTCTGTAAACCAGACATTGTTAATCTGGGTTTTAAAATGGATCCTGAGCTTAAGCTTGAAAGCCACATCGGGTTGGTTGTAAGGTCTAGTTTCTTTCATCTGCGGCAACTGGCCAAAATTAAGCACTTTCTTACGAGACAGCAATTTGAAACAGTAATCCAGGCTTTTGTAACCGTTCGGCTGGATTACTGTAATTCTCTTTATTTTGGGGTGAGTCGATCTTCTGTTTTTCGACTGCAGCTAGTCCAGAATACTGCTGCACGGCTTTAAACTGGCACTCGTAGATACGAGCATATCACCCCAGTTTCATTGGCTGCCCGTGCATTTTAGGATCCATTTTAAGATGCTTTTATTTGTTTTTAAATGTTTGTCCAATGCTGCCCCTGTGTACCTCTCTGAGCTTCTTCATCCATACATACCTTCCCCATCTCTCAGGTCGGCAGACCAGCTCCTCCTGAGTGTGCCCAGGACTAATCGTAAGCTCAGAGGGGATCGGGCGTTTGCTGTGGCAGCACCAAAATTGTGGAATGAGTTGCCTTTACATGTTAGACAGGCACCTTCCTTATCTGTTTTTAAATCACGTCTTAAAACATATTTATTTTCCTTGGCTTTTAGAACAGCAGGACTTGTTGATGTCTCTTAATATATTTTCTTATTAATTATATTATTTTTAATTTTAAGATATTTTATATGTAATTTAAACCTTTTCCTCTCTGTTTTATATTTGTAGCACTTTGGTCAACATTGTTGGATGTAAAGTGCGTTATAAATAAAGATGCTATGCTAAAGATGCTATCTGAAATATTTAGGTCTTAAAAAATGTGCAAAAACAAAAAAATCAGGACGGGGATGAACATTTTTTCACAGCACTGAATCAATAGTGAACACTTGACCTTAGTCAAACCACTGAGAGCATTGTAGCTTGACAGGCTGCCAACACTCACAGGTTTTAAAATTAGAGATTCTTTCTGCCTTTCAAGTGCTTTCATGGGGTTTTTAAAGAGTAGGCCCATCAGATCAGATCAACATCACCCCTGGATTTAAAGCCAGGCAGCTTTCATTAGCAGCACTCTGATAAGCCTCACATATCTGATGTTTTTCTGGAACAGTTCTACTCTCATCCATGTCATATAAATCTGGCAGTTTTGGCTCTCCAGTGTCACAAGTGGCCTCACCAAGAGGGTGGTGGCTGATAGACAATAAATTCAACATTATTTTACTTAGAATGGGCACATTTATGTGTCACATTCAGTATTTGAGCACTTACTCTACCCTCTCAATGTGAAGGGAGAGTTATTTATGTTTGGAGTTCTGTATATACCACAGTTTCTCTCATCGAGGCCATTGGGACAGTCCTTGATTCCATCACAGATGGGCACGCAGAGACCATTCACAGTGCACAGGAACTGTCCTGGGCAAGCTATAAAACACAAATACACACAGAGCTCGAAATTATGCTGAGAAAAGGTCACAAAATGACATCCCAATATTTTCATCAACATTTCATGGCTGTCAGTTCCAGCATCCACAACTCACGATCTGACAGGTTGAAGACGCTGTATTGCAGCTGAAGGCCCGGCCCTGTGAGTGACACCTCAGATGTCATGAAGATAGTGGCTGTCGTAGAGAGCAGGAAGAGACGTTCGCTGTAGGGCTGCAGAGCCCTGGTGCCGCACAGTCTGAGAAAGGAGAGGGAGGGTGAAAGTGAAGGGACGTGTCCCTGAAGGCATCACCTCTCCACTTGTACAAGAAACTATTGATCGGTTTCTTCCTGATTAAATAAAGAAAGTAAGGGATTTGTGAGTTTAAAAAACATTTAAAAAAAAATGTAAATTGCCTATACTGGAATTAAAATGCTCTCAAACATAAGGGGATTTGGTTGGCTTGTGTGGTACAACACTGCCCCCTGTTGTTCAGTAGGGAACAAAATCCTCTCAGGGTCTAAATACTTTTTACTGAGGCTAAGAAGAAGCAGAACTCAGCACCCGTGCATTACACAGAAAGACAAAATCCTTTACACATGACTATTTGCTAAAAAGGGAACTATTTGAAAGCACGACCCGTTATATCAGTTATGATGAGGATTTGTGTTGTGTTGGGCTATCTCAAATGTTCTTTTTGTGTGTGTAAACATGTCTAATAAGTTCCAGAATAGGCACTAACGTTGCTTTACTGGGCTGAAAAAGGTCTTTGTGGCACAGCTTACCTGCGATTCTGGATGACCCACTGTCCCTGGGTACAGGCCTGGTTGTAGCTGGCTCTGCTTAGCTCATAGCCCTCAAATGTCAAACACAAGCCCATCCCTGCACTGGGCATCTGAAATCACACACAGGACAGTAAATGTATCAATCAAGTCATTTACTTGACAGGTTCTTTATTATAATACGAGTTACCTTTAGTGATTCAAAGTTTGACGTGGATCATTTGATGATAAATAAAATAATCAATCAATGTGTGGATCAATAAAAGATGCACAGCTGAAGGAGAGGCTTACAGTAAAGCTCCAGGTACAGTTGGTGTCAGGAGGGTAGTAGCTGGGAAAGAAGGGTGTCTTTAGCGTCCCTTGGACCCCTGATACTGCCTCCAACTGTATAGTGGAATTACAGTCTAAGAATGATGAAGACACAAAGCAAGAAAGATTGTTCAGTCCACAATATAATCATTTAATGTGAATATATACAGAAAAGAAGAGGGGGACTCATGAATATAGCAGGATCCACACAAGATTGATTTCTACCATGTCTTTCAGAACACAACTTGATTGATTCTTGGTTTTGTGAGACCAAGATAGATTGCCATAAAAATACATGAGGATATTGATATCTGCTGCCCAGAGACTAAATCCCACTCACTCTGGTCATTCCTGTAGCTCTTGCACAACTAACCGGTCAATAATTTCATTTACAGTGTGACATATCTAAATATCTACTGGACAGAATACCAAAACGTTTTCCAGATGATGTAACATAATCACTTGGGCAATGACCTGAAATTTTCTAGTGCCACCAAAAAGTTGACATTGCATGTTAGGATGCTGACTTTTAGTCAAATTATTGTATGATACATTTTTTACCAGAGAGAAGTGCAAAACATTCAGGTAGGCTTACCCTGGTGTTCCCAAGCCCCCACAGACAAAGAAAAGGATTCCTTGTAATTGTATAGACCCTGTTTCCAAACCACTGTCATCCACTCTCCTGATGACAGGACACGGACCACGCGCTCATGTCTGCTGCAGCCATACACACTGGTAGGAAGGAAGGAAAGTTGCACAGAGCCCATAAATAATAGTGATAATAACGTGTTAGTATGAGTTTCTATTTTGGACATCTATAACAGGAACTATAGAGGCCTAGATATGTGTAGATCATCCTATTTTAAAGGTCAGGCCAAATATTGATTTCATTTTTGTGGTTTTTAAATATTCCTGTCACTTTACATTAATGCCTCACAGTGCTGTGTATCAGTCTAAATATACTTATATTGTTAGGAGAGACTCACGATGTGATGAGATGATTATCAGCAGGGGTGAGCGAGTTGTACACCAGCAGTCTGTCACTGCACTCTGGAAGCAGCCACTCCATATGGAGCTCAAGCTGGGAGCCTGGGGTGGTCTGGAGGTGCCACAGACAGGAGGAACGCTGCGTGTTAGGGCCACGGAGCAGAACGGGGCAACTGGACACCACCTTCTGATAGCGGTAGCAGTCTTGGGGCAAAAAAGGCAAGAATTAAAGTCAGAACTGAGTCTGTACTTTTGTGCACAGATGATGGGATTTGTAAATGTTAAACTTCAATGGCTTTTGCTTCTATGGTTTAACTTAAGCTGATAGGGATTGATGACATTACACTAAATATAAAGTTTTACTTTGACTTTAGATATGGAGCTATTACGTTAAAAGGAATTGTCTAAAAAGAAACAATTAAAAGATCAGACTAAACTAAAACAATGTGCCATGTAAAAGTATAACACAAGAGAAAATCAGTTTATAGAGTTTTTGGCGTCTGTGCTAATAAAGCTGTAGGTCAAATATGTTGTTAGCAAATTTAAATAATTCAGTTGTTAGTTAGTATCCAAGTTCCATTGTTTTTATCGTGTTATTATTATGCCCCTTTCAAAACATTTTAAAGTCATTTCAAAACTAAACATATAAACTACCTGTACTATGATGTAGTTAAACTCTAACCATGACCAATGAGTGCCCATCTAAGCAAGTCAAAAAATGGGTATTAAATGTTGCCAATTAAATAATGATGCGACCTAATAGAGGTGGAGTTCAAATGTCAAAATAAGGCTTTAAAATTTTTGCCTTTCACCCCAAAATCACATTTGTTCAGTGAATTATGTATACAGTATAATAAATTAAATTATACTGAGAAGCATGCTCAACATAAAATCCTGTTTACCTTTGTTCCCATGAGTTACTTTATTTCTTGTCTAATGTACAGTGGACTGTGCTACTTGTAATTAAAGTTCCGGTACATGAATTAATTAATACAAAACAAAAAATTATAAACAAACTGAAATAAAATCTGATACCAAATGAGGCTTTCAAAAGTTTTACAACTTTGGGGTCAGTTTCTGTAGGGAGCAGAACAAAAAGAAACAGAAATTAAATTAAATGTACATAAAATTTAAATTTAAATCTTCCTTTAACTGTTTTTCTGCCCATGTTCTTCCTCTCACCACTGACAGATAGTGTAGGGAGATGGAAAAGGTATCCATCAAAGCTGGCTGTCTCTTCCACCTTTGACCTGCTGTACCCCTTCAGCCCCTCCACCAGGCTCCTTCTGACCTTCTCCAGCGTGACTCCCTCAGCATGGCTGCTGGGTATATTCAGCAGTATCCAGAAGTGAGCCACAACACTTCCTTCCCTGCAGAGACAAAAAGACAACCAAGACTCGATGAAAGACCAGTCAAAAGTTTGGACACACCTTCTCATTTCATGGTTTTTCTTTATTTTCATGTCTATTCACATTGTACATTCTCACTGAAAGCATCAAAATTATGAATGAGCATATGAAATTATGTAGGAAACAAAAACGTGTGAAATAACTCAAACCGCTTTTTATATTTTAGATTGCTTTGTACACTCTTGGCATTCTCTCGATGAACTTCATGAGGTCGTCACCTGAAATAGTTTTCCAATAGTCTTATACAGTCTTATCCCCACACCATTGCGTTTGGGTTTAGTTTATGTGACTGAGGAGAACAGGCCATCTGGTGCAGCACTTCATCACTCTGCTTCTTGGTCAAATAGCCCTTACACAGCCTGGAGGTGTGTTTGGGGTCACTGTCCTGTTGAAAACGAAATTATGGTCAAAATAAAGGTAAACTGGATGGGATGTAATGTCGCTGCAGGCTGCTGTGGTCGCCATGCTGGCTCAGTGTGCCTTCAATTTTGAATAAATCCCCAACAGTGTCAGACGAAGAAGGCAAGAAATTCCACAATTGAACACTGACAAGGCACACCTGTGACATGAAAACGATTGCAGGTGACTACATCATGAAGTGCATTGAGAGAGAGCCAAGGGTTTGCAGCGCTGTCAACAAAGCAAAGAGTAGCTACTTTCAGGAATCTAAAATATAAAACCTATTTAGATATATTTACCAACTTTTTTTTCTACATGATTCCATATATCTTGCTTCATATATGATGTCTTCAGCATGTATCTACAAAGGTAGAAAGTAGTAAAAATAAAGAAAAACCATTAAATGAGAAGGTGTGTCCAAACTTTTGACTTCTAGTGTTTTACTGTCTTTACTGATTCAAAGTATTTGGTGTCTATGGCTTCATGTTGTCATAAGTATGCTTGTTTTTGCAGGTATTTGGTGAAATACCAAAAAGGACAGTTTCTTAAATAGTCACAGTGTTTCACTTGTTTGGGCCCAAAAGCAACTTCCCAGCTAAAATCCGCAAATTTACAGTATAAATAAAAAGAAAAAAGAAATGAAAAATAAAACAGCAACATCTGAACAAGGTGAATTTTGAACTCTACAATCAGTCTATAGTCTGTGGTTTATCATTTTAAGGTTGCCATGTCGAGCTTTTTGTATACAGTCTATAGAAACACGCATGACCTGCAATACAGTTGGTACTTTTACCTCATGATCTTGGGTTGATTATAATCGATCGTGGCTCAAGAGTTGGGAGTTCGCCTTGTAACCAGAAGGTTGCTGGTTCGAGCCCCAGCTCGGACAGTCTCGGTCGTTGTGTCCTTGGGCAAGACACTTCACCTACCGCCTACTGGTGTTGGCCAGAAGGGCCGATGGCGCGATATGGCAGCCTTGCTTCTCTCAGTCTGCCCCAGGGCAGCTGTGGCTTGCCTCCACCAGTGTGTGGATGGGTGGATGACTGGGTGTGTAAAGCGCTTTGGGGTCCCTAGGACTAGTAAAAGCGCTATACATATACAGACCATTTACCATAATATACCTAAACCTATACCTGTTGGTAGGATAAAGTTGATCATCTTCAGTTTTTGTCAGTTCAGAAAGCGGTAGATTCTGAACTTGTTGAAACACATCAGTATTGTAGCAGTTAGCATAAAACACCAACCACTATAAAGAAACAACTGGTGGCTGCTCCCTTATTGAAAACAGAGTAAAAGCTTACCGTATGTTAAAGCCACAAAGATATTTTTCAGAGGTTAGTTTTAAGAAAAAAATGTGCAGAACAGTGTAGATTTTAAATTTTACTCAAAGCTTATCAGTAGAAAATATCCTCCTGTTGACAAAAACTTGAACTGAACTTGGAGTCATGATGGCACAATATTCACTACTTATCAACCTAGTTCAAGGATCAATTTGTATTTTAGAATCACTGCTGGCACTTAGTCTACCACTAAACTACAGTACTGCCCCATTCCTGTTGTTATGACTCTGACTTATGACTATGTGAAGAAAAAATGTAATGTACATACCCAAAGGCAAACACAGTGGTGCAGTTGAAGTATCGAGAAAGAATCGAACCTTTCATAATATTCTCTACCTGAAAGAAAGCAAAACACTATCAGCTGTTCACATGAAATCATTCAGGTGCAGGATGGTAGTGTTCCTGTCAGTACACATGCACTATATGTACTTTATACTGCCAAACATAGCCTCCTGAATGCTAATTTAATGTATTATTTTTGCTGTGCTATGTGGTTCTTTATAGCGTAGTCAATCTGACTACAGTCTGCTCTTCTTTTGATTTGATATACCTTTATTAGTCCCACAAGGGGAAATTTCATAAGGCTGCCGACCTATTGCACGTAATGCCGGCGCCATCTTACCCTCCGACCATACATACACGACACAAAACATCACATGGGGAAAACAGGTCAGAGAGGTATAACAATGGAAAATGCACCACATGAGGAAAGATAAGGAGAAAAAAATAACTCCCCTCAGACTGAGCTCCAACAGGGAGATCAGTTTGAGAACAGAAAAAAAAACACCTCTGCACATAAGAGCACATGAAAAAAAACAAAACTTCTGGACTTCTGTTCTGGTCTATGACTTACTAGTGTAATGTACGTTAATGATAACAACTGTTTGTGGTAATATCTCAGAATTATTATAATCTACAGTACCTAAACAAACTTGCTAAGCATTATTTGTTTCAGCCCCCTTTTTTGTTATTGTTTACTTGTTAAGATTACATTGTGAAAATTAGTGGAAAAACAGAAAGCCTTTGAAACTGACAGGATCACCTAAGTGACCTAAATTTTTAGGACATCTGCATCAGAGGAATTCGTGGTCCCTGCTCACCATACTCTCAACGCCCTTGGCTTCCTTCTTGAAAACAGGACTGTTGTGAGAGGACAGATCAGTAGAGAAGTTCCTGTTGAGGATGGATAAGTAGGCAGTGTACTGCTGCTGGACACGAGCCTCTAACACCCAAACCTTGTATTCTGTTACAGAAATGTGGACCAACACAGAAATTAAAGACATCAAAGAGTAACTGTGATGCTACATAATAATAGTATCATAACAGTGATCCAATGTTCTTCATCTGTCGTATGATAATGATCCATGGGACAGCCCATCTGTGCTAAGAATAGGCATGAAAGGCAAGAAAAAAGGAAACTGGAAAATATTTGCTCACTCTGTTTCAGTATACGTGTGCGGTACCATTATAAATATAGCATCTCAGACTGACTCTGATTTGCTTTCCCTAGCTGTCTGTGAGTTTCTGCTTCTTTACCACATCCTTGTCAACCTAATTCAAGCCTTACATTTACATTTTAGAATCACAGCTGGTACCTGCTTGACCACTAAACTACAACACAGAGGACAATATCAACTCTTATTATTTTACACACTAACTCTAAGTTCCATCCATCCATTCATTCGCTTCTGCTTATCCTTTTCAGGGTCACGGGGCTATCATATCCCAGCTCTCATTGGGCGAGAGGTGGGGTACACCCTGGACAGGTCCCCCTTTGTTGCAGGGCTAACACACAGAGACAGACAGCCATCCGCACCCACATTCACACCTATGGGCAATTTAGATCAGTCTATTAACCCAGAGGGAACCCACACAAACATGGGGAGAACATGCAAACTCAACACAGGCCTGATGGTGGAATTAAACTCAGGACCTTCTTGCTGTGTGGCAACCGTGCTAAGCACTGTGCCGCCTAACTCTAAGTTAGTTTGTAAAATTTCATGACTAGATGTCACTGAATTACAGCTTGTGGTCAACTGAATTCTGTTTCCCTACTCCTCCCGATAAAAATGCATGACCCTGGCTTCTGTAGTCATTGTAGGACCAACATGTTTTAGTCAGCCGAGAGAGAACTAAAATATTACATTTAGATAGTACTCCATAACGGCTGCATTGTCAATAGCGTATGTCAGTAAAATATTATTTGGTATTTAATGTTCGGCAATTGGAAGAGTTGGCCTTGGTTCAGGATGTGAATCCTGTTGGCGTGTTGCAAATTTGATCTGGCTGCAAAGCATTTAAATGTTTCTCCAGTTCCATCATATCCTGAAGTACAAATCCTTTGCCAAAACAGCAATTCTACAGGGATCCAAACATATGGTGTTCTGGTTTGGGTCTTTAAATTATATCCCGATAAGCAGTACAATTACGGAGCCAGCTTCTCATGCACATGATGACTACTATCCTCAAATAATCCTCATGACTTGACAATTATTTGAAACTGAGCATGTTGCAAAAGATCATAGGTAAACATGCAAACCACATTTTGTAGATGCTGTATACATGTGGCCACTCACACAGCATTGTCATTGTCAGGAGCACAACTTGAGATTAAAATATTAACAAAATGAGAGAAAATGTTTTGCTCACCCAGGAAATACCAAGCCAAAATTGCTGCTGCAACTATAATGATGACAATGAGGATGATGAGGAAGGCAAGGACACACTTGCAGGACCAAGACTTCCTAGTGGGCGGAGCCACAGCTTGTGTAGCAGCTCCCACCTGAAAACAAAAGCTTAACATGATCTACAAAAAATCTGACAGAGACAGACCCAACGCTGTGGCATCCTTTGTTTTAGAGAAAAATGAAAATGTAGTGAATCATTTAGTTAACATCTAACCTGGTTTTTGAGTAAGTTATGTTTGGGAAGTAGGTATCGATTTGTTTAAAATGTTATTATATTTATTTATTGTATTTATTAGATATCTGCAAATCCCAATCAAACACAACTGATTGTTACAAAGCATACTGACACAGTTTATGGAAACATGTATGTAGAAGTGCCTGAACCTGCATCAGTCATGGCATTAAAAGCACAGAAGGAGCCTCCATTTTGAAAGGTCTTGTGCATTCTCTAAAACATGCATTTACTCTAAAAAATGTTAGATATGCAAAAATCCCTACAAAGGACATAGATCAGAGTGCATTGCTGCAGTTTTAATGTTTCAGTATTACTGACCCCATTGCTTAGAGAAGCATGTGTGATCCCCTGGTCACAGGATACGGATTTCTTTGACCCGTGGCCAAGTGCCATTGCATCACACCACATTTCTTAGTCCTTGAGAAATCATCTTGACATCCATGAGGGGTCGCTGAGTTCTGAATTTCCAACCAAAAGTCTTTTACCAGCCATCTTTGGTAATCACAAAGCTGCACATGTTGCTCTGACAGACAAAGAGCAGTCCAATTTCTGTTTGTAAGTCCAAAGGTTAAAAAAAAGACAGTCAATATTTCCCAAACCTCATTTGGCTTAAGCATGTCACTCAGAGTTAGCTGACTTACCTCTATGCATCAGCAAAGCAAGAACTGATGGTTCGATATAACTGGGAGGAGTAAAAGTGAGTCAGGTACACAACCTGATATCACAAATCATCACCAAGCAACAGCAGTGCACCCAGGCAACTGCCTGCACAGGTAGGACTGCAGGGAATAATAAGTTATTTACAGTCTCTATTCTCCAGAGTTAGTTTTCCCTGCAAACAAGAGTCTACTACACACAGAGATATGAGTGTCTTTATCTCAGGGACTAAAGAGTTTCTCACTGATTTAAATTTTGCCTCTGCAAATCAATTCATTATCAGGAGCACATTTTTTTGAAAATGTTCATGTAAAATCTTTTCTTCGGTTTACATTAAACTTTAAAAATAAAAGGCCCACAAGCTATTTACACTTGCCATTTATTTTATTGTGAAGTTCATCACAGTAAACAACATGTTTTACGACTGACTTGATGGTCTACAACATACAGGGAAACCAAGATCAAAACAATAATGTGAACTATTAGACTATTTGTCATTGACATACTTCCATTCCATTACAGACGTATACATATATTTATTTTATTAAAAGGTAAAATTATTTTTATAAAACAAATACAAGTTCTTATATAAGTCATTTATGCTATTAATGATCTGTTACATCTAGACATTTCATCTTCAAATATCCTGGTTATGGTTAATATGTGATTATCATGATAACAACATTAGTTCACAAACTCACCTATCTGGAACTTACATTCCTTTACCAACATTTGTTTCAGTACAATAAGCTACATGCCATTTAGATGATCTCACTAAAACCACAATATAAACGCAAACACTTTTATTATTACAACCACATTATTATTAATTTGAGTTTAGTTTCTCATTAGATAATACATTTGGTTTTTAACAGTAACAGTTTAAGTGCAAAGTTCAGATATATGAAAAATTATTTTGTTTAAATATTAAAGATAAAGGAAAATACATTTATAAATATCACCACCAGCGCTGCTGAACAACGTGAAGTGTATATAGTTTTATGTGATGTTACATTTTCCTGAGAACTTATCCGGTCGTTAAGTCTGATGTCACAAGCCGTGTCTGGGCCTAAACTCCGCTGCAGGTCCATATATCAAACGATCACTATGGCATTACTGAGAGTTGAAAAACTGTCTAAAGTCTTTCATCTTTAATAAAATGATCAGCGTTCTGCTCTACCAGGTGTAACAATTGAGTTTAACATCCAGGCATCCATGAAAACGGAATTTA